AGGCTCGGTCGGCTCTTCCGAGCTGTCTGAGCAGCTGTTACTTGACTCTGAGCCGGAAGCTGACTGCCGGTACACTTCCGGCGCTCCGTGCAGTTTTGTTTGGCTTCGACCCGTTCCTCCCTTCGGGGGTGGTGCCGTTCCCTCCCACTGAGGTCCCCCCGCCTCCTGCTGGGGGAGGTCCTTGCCCTATACGGACCTAATTTGAATAGAGCGATCTGGTTGGTTTTACGCTCCTCCGCGGGGACTGCCCCCCCCACCTGCTCACCCGCGCATGTGATGTTAAGCAGGCTGACTGCATTTCCGCCCTTCTCCCCCTCTTCTCTTCCACCCTCGCCATGTGGTTCGGCGCCATTAAATGCACATGGCGGGGGCGAGTTTTTACCGATCCCGGCGGGGTCCGACAATCCGGCCGCGTTCCGCGCCTTCTCCGCGAGTCCCTGCCAGAAGCATTGCGCGCGCTGCTCTGCCTCCTGCACCGGATCAGTGACCGGCGGGGAAGGGACGGATAGAGGAACCGCGGATTTTTCGGATGGTTCTGCGGGGGGGCTGGGACCCGGCGGGCTCCACGGGAGGGTCAGGGGGTCCCCTGGGGGCTCCGGGGGACCTCCTGGGGGCTCCGGGGGATCTGGGCTCGGGCTCGGGAAGGGGTGGAACGCGCCCGGCCCCCGCATATTCCCGCCTTCAATCCGATTGCTCTCAGAGGCGGTCTGCGTCGCGGCCCCCACCCCCAGCTTTGGTGTAGCTAATAAACATGTACACGTGGCTTTCCGCATCTCCTGTTCTTCTAACGTCTTGCGTAGGGCCTCTTCTACTTTCCCCCACGCTTTGAGGTTTTTACCACTGCCTGCGGACTTAGAGTCCTCTGCTGAGGCGGCAGTGCACTTCTCCCGCGCTTCCGAATATAATATATTTACCGGACGTTTGATCGTCCTGAGCTCTAGGAGCCTTGCAATAGCAAGATTAGAATTCCTGAGCTCACCTTTAATTCCCCATTGCTCATGAGCCTGACTTACGACCTTTGCTGTAGCTTCCATGATTCGAGGGCATCCCCTCCGCTGTAGTCGGACCCCCCGCTACAGCCGCCGTCCTCTGTCCAGGCGATTCCCGTTCCCCGGGCGCTAATCGGCTTCCCGGGGTTTCGGCACCAGTTGTTGCCTTCTGGAGCAAGGCAAGGCGACCTGGTTCTGAGGAAACGGCACGGCGACCCAAACTCTCCAGGGTCACTCGGGCCAAGAACACACGCAGACACCAGTATGGTGGACAGTTCAAGACCTTTATTGTCCCGTCTCGTCGGGTTTTATACTGGGAAAGTTTTCTCTACATCAGGGGGTCTTACCTTACTGTAATTGGTTAGTAAGGAGTCGAAAGTTACTAATGTTAGGGGGAATTATATTCTTGGGTGATCCCTTATCACTAGGCATTAGGGGGAGAGGAATTCTACTGCTTTCCGTGACATCGCGAGATTTTCCGAGCGCCTGTCCCTGTCTACTACACCTTAGGGCCAGCTCTCATCTGCCTGTGAAACACTGGGGCTCTGTACTTTCCTTCTTTTAGAAAAGAATTCTCCTTCTTGTCCAGGTGCCCATGGAAGAAAATTTGGGATTTGGCCTCCCAATTTCCCTCTAACCAAGGATTTCCCCAAGAGAAAAGCTGTGAAGACAAACAGGTCTGGCTAGCCTTGGCCCCCTTGGTGCTGCCTCTAATCAGCCTTTGAAACACTTGGGCTCTGCCCTTTCCTTCCTGTGGAGAAGAACTGTCATTCTGATCCAGGCACCCATGGCTGAAATGGAATTCTACCTCCAAAACTCCACAAATATCCAAGGGTTGCTTTCAGACAAAACCTGCAAGGACCGACAGGTGTGGCTTACCTTGGCCTCTGGTGAGTGCCTCTAATCTGCCTTGAAACCCTGAGGCTCTGTGGTTTCCTTCCTATAGAGAAGAACCATCCTTCTTGTCCAGGTACCCATGGCCTCAGGCACATGAGCACTGTATAGGGATAGAGGAGCTCTGTGCTCAGTGGGGAGGAAACTGAGGATAGCAGAGGAGAGCCCTGGGAGGGACTGAAGGGAGGTTTCAAAGATGGTGAATCCTTTTGACATAGTGGAGAACAGCTTGAAATAGAAAAATTAATGCCAAGGGCATCTGGGGAGGCCCAGATTGGGAACAAAGACAATGGAGTTTCCCTCCCAGGGCAGGGCTGTGGTGCAGCACATCCCCAGCAGGAGCCTGGAACAGCCCAAGGCTTTGTGTGGGCAGGCAGAGGCAGGCAGGAGGCAGAGCTGTCAGCAAAGGAAGGGCCCAGCCAGGTGGGGCAGCTGGGGGATGCCGACAGCCTGCAGGGACAGAGGCGCAGGGCAGGGACACTGTGGGACAGCCTGAGCTGCACAAGGCACAGGGATGGGCAGCAGCTGCAAGACAGCCCTGTCAGAGCCAACTTGGGCAGCACTTTGGCCATGGCTGCTGACCCTGGACCTGAGGCCACGAGGGGACAAGTGACCCTTGCAGGGCTGGGGACTCATTGCCTCCTTGTCCCTGCTCAGCAGCCTGGCAGGGGCCGCCCCATGCTCCTGCCCTTGCCATTGCACATCCCCACATGCCAGTGCTCATCCCGGGAAGAGCCCTGAGCAAGGAGGGAGGGACAGCATCTGCCTGGCCAGGGGCTGGGGCTCAGGCCTTGGCCTTTGCATTCCTCAAACACATCCAGGTTTGCTCAGCACCAGAGACACCTTTCCCTTGTTTGTCCCCACCTGGCATCACTGCCTCCAGTGTTCTGCTCTAACTGGAACCTAGGGACACTGTCTGATTCATGTCCCTCAGTAGGACCCATTAAAACTTCAAGAAATTTCAGAGTTTGAATTTAATTTTGAGTTCTTGAGAAATGTTTTGAAGACACTCTCAGGGATTGAGTCTGATGTAAACAACACCAAAGTCCCAGAGGCTCAGTCCTTGTGCTGTGTCTGCGCTGCTGAGCTTTAAAGGAACAGCTCTTCCCAGGGCCAGCTCCTCTCCCAGCTCAGCAGGGCTGAGGGCTCTGCCTGCAGGCACTGAGGGGACAGGAGCCAGGCAGAGACAGGCTGGAGGCAATCAGGATTGGGAAGATATTGAGCTGAGGCTTCACTTGGGGAAACATCTTCACAGTCCTGTGCATGGTGAGTGTGTGGGTGCAGGGCAATGTCCCCTGTGCTCCTGGAGGGATCTCCTGAAGCCAGCACATCCCACAGCCTGGGGGATGTGTCAGGAGGACTCTGCCAGTTTCTCTGTGGCACAGGAGGAGGAGGAGGAGGAGGAGGATGTGCTGCAGAGCAGGGGTGCCCTTCTGAGGGAACTTGTCATGAGAACATTCAGGGCTGGGGTTTCCAGCTTGGATCTCTGCTTTCCTGAATCTGTGCTCCCACTTTTCCCTGGCTCAGCTTAATGACAATGCAAACTCAACTGTGCAGGGCAGAGCAGGGGCTGAGCCTCTTAAACCATCACCCTGAGGATTCCTGGGCACCTCAGCAAGTGCCTGCACCTGCCCAGCCTCCAGATCCACACAGCATCACATTTCCATGGTGCCCAAGCTGGGGGAGCTGTTCTTTCATCCCTGCAGGGCCGAGCAGCTGCAGGGCAGGGCTGGCCCAGGGCCTGGGCTGGGCTGTGGCAGCTCTGGCAGGAAAGGAGCCCAGAGCCACAGGAGCAGCTCTGGCTGAGACAGCTACCACATCAGAGCCGTGGGCAGGCAGGGAGGGAGGCAGTGCTGAGGGAAGCCCTGCTGCAGGGCAGATGTGGCACCTGCCGGGCCTGCCCTGAAGGGCACACACTGCCCTGAGCAGCACAGCTCTTGTGTCCCCTCGCAGCCAGCACAGCCATCAGCCCGGGGCCTCGGAGCCCTCAGTCCCTCCTGGGCCGGCAGAGCAGCCCCAGAGATGAAGGACATCTCTGCAGCCATGTGCCCATTCCCTGCTGACCAAGGCCTGAGGGCCACTGTCCTGCCCTGCTGCTGCCTGGCAGGGGCTGGGCAGGGCTGGCCAGGGAAAGGCTTTTCCTCAGGCCCAGCTCTCTCTCTCCCCTTGCCTTGCCCAGGTGCTGCTGGCATTGCTGATGGGCTCTCTGGAATGGCAGTTCCAGCTGCAGGGCCAGGCCCAGCCCTTGGGCTCCTCCTGTGCAGGCTGAGCACAGCAATGGGGTGTCCCAGCTCCCTGTGCCCGGGCAGCTCTGGGCAGGGCAGCCTGGGAGGCTGGCAATGAGCCCACTCTCCTGACTCTGGGAAAGGCAGGAGCCCCTTTGTGTGCCAGGGATCCTCTGCTCTCAGCTGTGTCTCCTGGCTGTCCAGGCTAATGCAGGAGTGGATCTCAGAAAGGCGCAAGTGCAGGGCAGCTGGAACAGGATAGAGGGACAGAGCAGCTTCCCTCAGTCTGCACTAAGCCTCAGACAATCCTCCTCCCTCCCTGGACAATCTGTTCTCCTCAGGTTCAGCAGAATGTCTCGTTCTGCCTTCTGTTATCCCCATGCCTTCACCCAGGCAGTTCCTCTGCCTTAGGGGAAGATTCTTTATCCAAGTCCCAACACCAGGACTGGACCCTGCCCTCACTGTTCCTCTGCACTGACTGGGGGTCAGGGCTGACTCCCAGGCGTCCTGCAGGGCAAGGTCCAACTCCTCACACAACATCGGCCAGCAGCAATTAGGGCTCCAGCAATCAAGGTGAAGTAAGATCTCTGAGACTTGGACAGGGGGAGGTGTTTAGTTGCAGAAATGAGTCTATGAGAAAGGGCTTGACTTTTCAGTGAGAAATCTCCCCTCAGTTATCACTGTCATTCCTTCTTCAAAAGGTTCCAATATCTGGAGACAGCAAATGTCCAACAGCAGCTCCATCAGGCACTTCCTCCTGCTGGCATTGGCAGACACACGGCAGCTGCAGCTCCTGCACTTCTGCCTCTTGCTGGGCATCTCCCTGGCTGCCCTCCTGGGCAGCGGCCTCATCATCAGCGCCGTAGCTTGCAGCCACCACCTGCACATGCCCATGTTCTTCTTCCTGCTCAACCTGGCCCTCAGCGACCTGGGCTCCATCTGCACCACTGTCCCCAAAGTCATGCACAATTTCCTCTGGGACACCAGGAACATCTCCTACGAAGGATGTGCTGCACAACTCTTTCTGTTTGCCTTTTTCATTTCAGCAGAGGTTTCCCTCCTGACCATCATGTGCTACGACCGCTACGTGTCCATCTGCAAACCCCTGCACTACGGGACCCTCCTGGGCAGCAGAGCTTGTGCCCACATGGCAGCAGCTGCCTGGGCCAGTGCCTTTCTCAATGCTCTCACGCACACAGCCAATACATTTTCCCTGCCCCTGTGCCATGGCAATGCCCTGGGCCAATTCTTCTGTGAAATCCCACAAATCCTTAAGCTCTCCTGCTCACATTCCACCCTCAGGAAACTTGGGGTCATTGTGGTTAGTGCTTTTCTGTTGTTCGGTTGTTTTGTGTTCATTGTTTTCTCCTATGTGCAGATCTTCAGGGCTGTGCTGAGAATCCCCTCTGAGCAGGGATGGCACAAAGCCTTTTTCACCTGCCTCCCTCACCTGGCTGTGGTCTCCCTATTTGTCAGCACTGGCATTTTTACCTACCTAAAGCCCCCATCCATCTCCTCCCCATCCCTGGATCTGGCAGTGTCAGTTCTGTACTCAGTGGTGTACTCAGGGCCTCCAGCCCTGAACCCCCTCATCTACAGCCTGAGGAACCAGCAGCTCAAGGCTGCAGTGTGGAGACTGGTGACTGGATGCTTTCAGAAGGATTAAACTGGTTGCCAAATTCTGCAAATTCCTTTTTATAGAAGTCATCTTTGATACTTCTTGTTGGTTTCATTGTTTTACTTTTATAATATTGTCCCTAAACAAAAGCCATTTATCCTGACATATCTCGTTTTGTTCCTCCACACCTTCACTGTTACCCACAGACTCTGTCAATGAGGAGCGATGCTCCTGGTGGGTTTAAATGACCTTAAGGACTTCCAAGCAGACATTTCACAGGAGATCCCCTTTTTGTTCCTTCTCTGGAGCTGCAGCAGCAATGTCTGTGTGCAGAGCAGGGGGCAGATCAGTGCTAGCCCAGCAGCTGTGCCCAGTAGCAGCAGCAGCACTTGGTGTTGCCAGTGCTGCTGCCATGGCCCTGCCCCGCTGCCCTGGTGGCCCTGGTGTTGCTGCAGGGCCTGAGTGCTCTTGGGGCCGGGCACAGTTCTGGGGGTGGCAGTGCCGGGGCTGCAGCAGGGACAGGCCATGGGCACTGCTGGGGCAGTGCTGACGCCTCAGGCCAGGGCCTGGGGGCTCCAGGCTCCTTGCCCAGGCTCTCTCAAGAACACGGCCAGGCCAATGCTCAGCACAGAAAAGCCCCGTGAGCAGCCCCAGGCTGGCCGTGGGCAGGCTGGGCACAAACAGCGTGGCTGGTGCTCTGCAAGGGCCCTGGGGCAGACGTGAAGGAGCAGCAGAGCAGGGGCTGATCCATCCCCAGTGCGCTGCACAGCCCAGGGCAGCGTCCCAGAGCGTCCTCATGGAGCTGCCAACAACATCCTCCCTCTGCAGCCCTGGCCTCTCCCCCAGCTCACACAAGTGCCCCATCCTTGCAGGCACAGACACTGCAGCACTGGCTCAGCAGCCCCTGTTTGCAATGCACAGAGCAAGGGGAGCACCCCCATGCTGTTGTTGTGGGGACGAACCTGAGGGAGCACAAATGCCATCAGCCCCAGGGGCCAGCAAGGGCTGGGGGACACCAGGGAAACCACTCAGCTTTGTCCTGGCCTCTGCAGTCAGCCAGAAAGTTTGTTCCCATCAGCTGGGAGTTTCCTGTCCCACTGCAGATGCTGTTTCCACTGGTCCAAGGGTGGTTTCAGAGTGTGCCAGAAGCAGCAAGGTTGGAAAAGACCTTGGAGATCATCAAGTACAACCTGTGCCCTGACACTACCTTGTCTCCCTGAGTCTCCTCTTCTCCAGGATAAACAACCCCAGCTCCCTCAGTCGCTCCTCACAGGACTTGTGCTCTAGACCCCCACCCCAGCCTTGTTGCCCTTCTCTTGACATGCTCCAGCCCCTCCATGTCCTTCCTAATTGAGGTGTGGCCTTACCAATGCTGAGCACAGGGGAAGAATCCCTGCCCTGCTCCTGCTGGCCACACCATTCCTGATCCAGGCCAGGAGCCACTGGCCTGCTTAGCCACCTGGGCACACTGCTGGCTCACGTCCAGCCTGCTGTCATCAGTGCCCCCAGGTCCCTTTCTGCCTGGCTGCTGTCCCCAGCCTGTAGCACTGCAGGGGTTGTGGCCGAAGTGCAGGACCCAGAACTTGGTCTTGTTCAACCTCACCTTGTTGGATTTGGGCCCTGGATACAGCCCGTCCAGGGCCCTCTGCAGAGCCCTCCTACCCTCCAGCACATCCACACTCACACCTAGCTTGGTGTCATCTGAAAATTTGCTGATGCTGGACTCAGTCCCCTCATGCAGATCATCAGTGCAGACATTGAAATACGCGGTGGCTGGCTCTGATCCCTCGGCCATCCTGTGAGTGCCCTGGGATGGCACTCAGGGTGATCTGTTCCATAACCTTGCTGGGCACCCAGGTCAGGCTGACAGGCCTGGAGTTCCCCAGCTCCTCCTTCCAGCCCTTCTTGGGGATGGGCTCACACTGGCACCTCCAGTGCTCTGGGACCTCCCTGCTGAGCCAGCACTGATGGTAGATGATGGAGAGCAGCTTGGGGAGCTCATCCACCAGCTCCCTCATCCCCCTGGGATGGATCCCATCTGCTCCCAGAGACACCTGTGAGCATCTGAGTGGCTCAGCTGGTCCCCAGCTGCTTCCTCCTGGATTACAGGGGGCTGTTCTGCTCCCTGTGCCCATCCACCAGCTCAGGAGAACACTTCTCCTAAGTGCAACCTGTCTTGTTCTTGAAAACCGAGGCAAAGAAGGGGTTAAGTACCTCAGGCTTTCCCTCATTTTTGTAACCATATCTCCCCCAATAATAGATGGAGATTGTCCTTGTACCTCCTTTTGCCATTATTCTATTTATAGAAAAATTTTTATTATCCTTCACAGAAGTGGCCTGGTTAAGCCTTAAGCTTTCACCTCTCTGATTTTCTTTCTGCATGACCTAACAACATCCTTAAACATTTCCTGAGTTACCTGCCTCTCTGTCCAAAGGTGATGCACCTTCTGTTTTGCCTCAAGTTCCTGCAAAAGGCCCATCACATACAGAACGTCACCTGTTGGCTAAAGAATGCCTCAGAGGAGGAAAATACAAGAGTCTATAAATTCAAAGAGGGAAAGCAAGCTAGTAAAGTAAAAGAAGAAAAAGAGGCTGGGAAGGCTAACAAAAACTGGGACCTCCTTGATCACTTACCTCCCTCCTACCCTTGCAGTACCTCAAATCCCTCCAATTCCTCTTTCTGTGGAGCCAATTCCTCCTCCTCTCCCAGCTGTCATTCCTTTACCACCTCCTAACCCAGTTATACCTCCACCACCTTCCCCTCAGCCCTCTCCTTACTCTCTTTACCCTTCACTACTGTTCCCTTACCTCCACCATCTCATGCACCCCTTATTCACCAGCAAGTTCCTGCTCTGCCTCCCCCAGCACAAATGAGAAGCCAAACAACACCTCAGAATCTCATGCCCAAGAGTGAAGTTACCCAGTCAGCCTCCACAGCTGATGTTGTTACAATCCATTGAAAGTGGCTGAAGTGGAAAAATTGTTCCCCCTCAGAGAAGTTCCCATGTGCAGGGTGGTCAGTGAGATTGGATTTGTAAACGCTCCTTTGACAGCGTCCAAAGTTTTAAACTTTAAGAAAGAATTGTGAAATTTAGTGGAAGAGCCAGTAGGAATAGCAAATCAAATTGATCCACTTTTCGCCCTAATATTTATACATGGGGAGAATTGAACTCCATCTTTAACATCCTATTTTCCCCAGAAGAGACTCGATTAATAAGAACTGCAGGAATTAAAATTTGGGAGCAAGAAAACCAACCCAGGCCCCCAGGTGACCAAAAAATGCCTTCAGTGGAGCCTGACTGGGACCCTAATCAAGAAGAGGGGAGAAGGAATATGAGAGATTACAGGTCCCTGATGACCTGAGGGATAAAAGAATCAGTCCCTAGAGGGAGTGATACCAGGTTAGCGTTTGACAGCAACCAGGAAAAAGACGAGACCCCAGCACCATGGCTTAATGGGCTAAAGAAAAACTTCCAGATTTACTCTGGTGTTGACCCAGACAGCCCAGAAGGCCAATCTCGGGTTCCCTGTGGTCAGGGATGACCCCGAGAATCCTTTTTTCCCAGCCTGGTGTTTTGAAGGAGTCTGAATTCTTCGGCTCTGGTTTCCAAGGTTCTTTATTGTTTCTTATCTATACAATTTTTTTCTCTGGCCTGCCAGAGGTCAGACAGAGGCACACTCCCTGCCCCTGGGCTGGTGTCTATGTTTTATACTATGAACTATGTGTACTTTATTTATCATTATTTTCCAATACCTAAAGACACATAGCAGGGGACTTTCAGTATTAATAAAAACAAATGCACCTTTTATTGAGTGCCCACAACAGATGTAACAGAAGGATTAGAAAGGAGATAAAGGACAGAGAGAGAGAGAGAGAGAGAGAGAAAGGAGGGTTGGGTGAGGGGAATAGCTACCAACAGCGAGATGAAATCCTCGTGGTCCGGCCAATAGATCCATATTGTCACATCAGGGAGAGTCTCAAAGTCTTTGGTTAACTCAGGGCTCTTTTATAATCTACCGCCGGGAGGGGAGCAGGATGGCACATGGAGGGAACAGTGGAGAATAAATCCATTGGAGACAGGCACAGACAGTCCAGTTCTGAACAGCACAAACCAGTGCCAGCAGTAAGCGGGGCCCGTTGTTTCAGGACTGGTTCCTATGGGAAACATCCCGCTTCCCATGGCAGACATCCCGCCCCAGTCAGGCCAGCACCCCTGGGTTAGAATTTGAAGGGTCTCAGTCTCAGTCCTTGGGGAGGTCATCAATCTCCGTCCTTGACGGCGGCTGTGAGGCAGATGAGGGATCTTTGGACCATCTCTTACAGACTGACATCCCAAAACATAGTAGTAATTATGCATTTCCCCTTAAAAATATAATTTATGGAATTAGGAAAATTATAACTATTTTTCTTATTTATAATAGTATTATTCTATATTTGTATTACGAAATTTTAATATTTATATTTAAAAATCCATACCTTCTTAGCAACCAAAAAATTTATTGGTCATTAGTTCTAAGTAACACAATTCCCAACATAATTCATTGAGCAGTGTGGCTATTGATTTTTCCTTCTTTATGCTAATCAGTCCTATTTTAAATCCTTTTGTTATCTTTTTTATCACTTTCAAAGACAGGATAAAAGGGGCCACTTTGGGGTCCGTAGAGACATTTCTGGGGCACATTTGGGGCAGTTTTGGGCCTGGAGAGGGAATTCAGAGAGAACTTGAGGGTCTGGAGGACACTTGGGGGAGCCGGGTGGGCACTTGGAGGGGCACTCAGGGATTCCGAGGGACAGTTCGGGGTCCAGGGCAGCACTTGGGGGTCCAAGGGGGCCCTTGGAGGTCAGGGAGGGGAATTTGAGGCCCTTCGGGGTCTGGGCAGGCCCTTGGGGGGGCTCTGACAGGGCTCTCTGGGGCGCGGGGGGTGATGGGAGTTGTAGGCGCGGGTGTATTGCAGTTTATCATGGCCGCGGAGCATCACAGGAGTTTGAGGCGCAGCTGCAATGGCTCTCGGTGGAGACGCGGGGCATGACGGGAGATAAAGTCCCA